GCTTCCAAGCAGGCCGGATTAATAACAAACACAGCTTGTTATTTCGGCTAAGGGGGGGAAAGGAGGCAGCCCTTTTTTTTTTTTTTTTTTTTTTTTTTGAACTGACACTTGTGAGATATTTCAGGAGTGGCGTGGGGGCAAAGGGAAGATTTATCACAGGGTCTCAGCTGCACTTTGTTTGGAGAAGTGATAAAAGACGGCCTGTCACAGCGCAGCGCTGCTGCCAAGGGAAACGGGAATACAAATTCCTCTATCACTGCAACCAGGGTGTCTGAATCTTTTTTTGCCTCATTTCCTTAGGAAGTGGAGCTTATGCAATCGTGCTGCCTGTCCACCACATCACTTCTTCCTCCTCCCCTGCCCTGATTTCTGAATTTGGCTCGTTTCAGTTAAATCTGGGAGAGGGAAGAAGACCCCAGATGATACAAAAAAACAGTGATGGGACAAGAGAAAGACTTACATGGATATCCCATGAGGGAAAAAGCTTTGGTATCCCAGCTCCTTACCTATTCCAAGAGTAGCCAAGAGGCTTCAAAACAGCATGGGCTGTGCTCTCAACTTGCCATGGTGTATCCTGCCTCTTGCTTTTTAACTTATCTATTTTATCTTTAAGCATCCATATATAACTTATCTATTTTATCTCTAAGCGTCTCTATGTAATTTTTCTATTTTATCTTTAAACATCTCTATATAATTTATCTCTTTTATCTTGCCACCAAAGGCAAGGAGAAATCAAAGTGAGTTGCCAGAGCTGCCGGAGTGTTCTGTGGGAGCCGTGAAATCAGCCTCATCAAAGCTCTCTAGGAACCACCCAGTGCATCTGGGGGCTCACAGACAATTAACCTTTGTCGAACGGGGAGCAGAACGGCTGCAGGACGGGGGATCGGGCATGGTCGTGTTTTGAGGCAGTTAATTGAATTTTCATAGCGATGTCGGTGTCACTCCTCACTCCAAACTGTGCGGCCGCCTGCAGATGGGGCTCTGGCAACGCGAACGGCCGCCTCCCGCCTTGTCCTGGGAGCATCCACAGCCTTGGCTCCATGGCTGCTCCCCGCCAGGGCACCTCTGGCGCGGCTCCCACTCCTCCCAGCCCGGGGACACTCCAGGCTGTCCCCTCCGGCCGGCAGAGCAGCCTGCTCCTGCTCTGCTGTGGCAATGTGACCCCAGCAACCTTCTCATCCTCCTCCCCAAGGCCTCCTGTGAGAAATTACATGTTTATTTCAGGACGAATTGCCTTAAATTCACTGAGAAATATTGTTTTAAATCAATACAAAAAGCTCTGAGGGAACATTGTGTTTTGAAGGACACTTTCTTCCAGTCGTTTTCAGTTAGAGGGAAGAAAAAGTCTGCTAAACTGATCTTTAATGAGGCTTTGCTGCACAGCAGTAGAAGTTCAGGAGATACCAAATGTTGTAATTAAAAGACATTTACCTCTCTGTTGGGAACAGGAGACGAGCTGCACTGCAAGGGATGAAGAGCACCTCAGTCTGCAGTTCCATATCGGGCCATCAGCTGGAAACAAGCACACAGGAGAATACAAGGGAAAAGCAGTGAAAACTCTTACAGCTGAGGAGAATGTTCCTGTTTGGGACCAAGTCAAGTGTTCTTTCCTCCACCAGGTGTTCCCAGTGTAACACAGGCCAGTCCTTTCCCACTTGGAAGTGACTGGGCTGCCTGAACAAGATCTGAATTGGGAGTTCAGCACCATTTCACTCGTGTTTCAAGGTTACCTGCAGCAGGAACCTGAGCACTCTTGTAATTCCCTCATGACCCCTGTGCTGATGTAAGGAAATACCCACTCACAGCAGATGCTGAGAAGAAGCTGAAGGCACAAACCCCACGTGCTGCAGGTCTGCAGTGTGTTACCTCATGCTCTGGACTTTGGAATGGCTTTTTGGGAGCTGACTTTTCTTGCACCAGGGCTTTGGATCTGAGCCATGTTGTGGACAAACACAGGCACGTTTTACAACATGAGTGGTGGCTGGGTCCAACTCCCAGGGAGCTCTAGCAGTAGTGTCTGGGTGTCAGCAAGGGCTCATGAAGGATAATTGTGTATATTACCATCTGTCCATGGCAAGGGAAGAGATCAGTGTTTGACATTTGCGTCAGCTCCGTCTTCGAAACGCACTGTTTAACGTGTTTTCTGAAAGCACTCAAATCCCTTGCCAGGTTTCAGCTCCCAGGAGGGGGGTGGTTGTGCCTCTATTGTCCCTAAAAATGCTGTTTTTAGAAAGAAATGTCCCAGGGAAGTTTGTATCCCCGCACTACGTGCCACTCCTCACCCAGGGAATGGCACCCATCCTCGGCGCTACATTTATGGCAATAAAGTTAAAGAAATCCAACCGCTGGTGTTTGGAGAGCATCGATTCCTGCCCTGCAGCGGGTTGTCTCCCTGCACTCAGCCCCTTGTCCTCCCCCAGCAAAACCCCTCCAGCCATCACACCTTCCACAGCCATTCCCCTGCTCAGCACCCCAGTGTGCCACCGCAGAGGAGGGATGTCGGGTTAAACCCCACAGAGCTCGGATGTGCTGTGAAGGAGTTAACTCCTCACCAAATGAAGCCTTACAAGAGCTGGAAGCAGAGTACTTGGTCTTTGTATCCCCGTGGTTCAACACACACCCACTCCTTTCTACTTCCTTGATGTCACCAAGTCACCTCTGATCTTTCAGAGTTGAATGAGCAAGTTTTTGCTGACGTACTTACCAACAACTAAATATAAAACACGGGAGCGGAGCCAAATGCCCTGGAAGAATTGCTCGGGTTTGTTTTCTCCTAAAATCAACAGCAGCATAACGTCAGAGTCAACATCTAGAAAGTTGTGCAATTTTCACCGGTGCTTTTGAACTGTTCAGGCCCCGTGGCTTTCAGAAGAGCCTGTTTATTTCTGTTGTTTAACTCTTCCCAGCTAGCACTTTCCCCCTTTGCTCTGCTGCCTGTGACAGAGTCCTATGGATTCAGCAGAGTGTTCTCTATCCACACAGGCATGTGACACACAGTGCTCCACCTTTCATTTGGCTGCAGTGTTTTCACCTGAACCTTTAGAATTCTTCATGGGCAGCTTCAAAAGAAACCCTCTCCTTTAACCCCAGCATCAGAAACTGTTATATATCTATATGTGTAAATATCTATAAGTGTATGTATCTATATGTGTATGTATGTGTAAATATCTAAGTATATATATATACACGTGTATATATATATATATACACATACATATATATACACATATATTATACATATATTTTCTTTACCACAATCCCATGCTGCAGGGAACAGGCACACACAAAGTTTTTCCACAAAAGGGAGCTTTACATGTTAAAAACCCCTCACCAAACCCCCACGAAAGCAAAGACCCGAGTGTGCTGAGCTGTCAAACTTTACCAACACCAGCATTTGTAACTGTTCAGCTCTGACCAGCTTTCCAAGGGCTGCTGTGGGGTCTTGCCCAGGTTGTATTGCCTCATCTTCACCACACAGCAGTGCAGGTTCTCAGAGCTGTCCCCAGCACTGATGCTGCTCCAGGGAGAAGGGATTGAATGTCCCCGGGTGACTCAGGGTCAACAAGTGCCCGGAGCCCGGGGTTTCCAGGCAGGACCATTCTCACAGAGCAACTGCCCAGGGTGGGAAAGGCAGGGACAGGAAACAAGAGGTTATAAACAGGGCAGAGCAAGAAAAAACAATTCCAGCTCATGGTAAGTTATGATTTTGAAATAAGGTCTTTCCTTCCAAAAACACGACGCTGTCCAGTGACTGTGTGGGGCGATGCCACGTCACGCTGGGGCTGCTGGGCAGGACTCTCCCTGGAGATGCTCCCAGCCAACAATAACACACAGTCCAGCAAGGGGGGTTTGGGAAGTGTTTGGTGGAACTACAGTATTTGGATCTCAAAAGTGGAAGGACTGGACTAATTGATTCAGCACCTCTCCCACATCCCAAATGCAGGGCTTAGGTTTTCATCCTGGAGTATTCTGGTCCAGAGCAGCGACTGCAACCAATCTCTCACCATCCTCATTGTCCCTTCTCCCACCTTCAGTGACTTTTTGCAGAGCTACATGGGCAGGAGAAAACTAAGCCACATGCCTGCTCTGTTCAAATAACAAACTGCAGTGAGTACAAACACAGCAGTAAAATATTTAATCATAATAAAATACCCAGATCTTATAACAATAGTCACAGTTCATCTTTAAGCCTCCTTTCCAGCAACGAGCTTTCTGACTATTAATTTTAAAAATTATTAATAGAGTTTAAAACAATATGGAATTATTAGGTCTTGTAAAACCATCACCCTGAGCCCACACTCCATTCTCACCCTTCACATGGCCATTAAACACCCCTGTGTCCAGAGTGCTCTGCACAGGGGTGGGAAATCATAAATAACTCTGTCAGGCTGATCCTGCAAATACTGAAACATGGACAAAATTAGAGCCTCTCACTGGCTGGGAAGGGGTCTGCTATCACCTTGTGACAGTTTCTAACCATTGCAGGAGGAGAGCACAGCCATGTTATAAGGACAGATAAAGCAACACCCACAAAGTGGCTTCAGCTTTTCCAAATTCAAAGGCTTGCACCTTCAGGCAAGGTGGATTTTCTGCCTCAAGCTTCACCTGCTGTGAAAAGGGGGCAACAGCCCTTCCTCTGCCTGAAAAGTCAATGCTGGGAGAACCAAACACATTAAAGACCTCGCCCAGATACTGCACTAACTGGAAATATAAAGTACTGGAAACAGGCCACTAACAATTTCAAATCAATTTTATTTTCTTAAATTGGTGTTGTACAATTTAAAGCCAAAAAAAGAAAAAAAGGTCACACAAAACACAAATAAAAAAATGTTGACAAAGTATCAAGCATTACCTTATAAACATCATCATACGCTCTCACAAACCTGAAGGTACGTGTTTTATTAGACTGAGGTTTCTTGAAATCTATTAAAGACGCCAGACACAAACGCTGCAACAGCAACAAAGCCATGACAATAGCAGGTGGACTACACTAGCAACTTCAGCAATGGTTGGGGGTTGGTTTTTGGGGTGTTTTCTTTCTCTTTTTTTTTTTTTTTTTTTGCATACCTTATTGTCTACAAAGCAATAAATATTTTTCGCCTAAAAAGTTGGTTTCACGCTACATGCAGTTAGATAAAAAAGAAAGTCACTAAAGTGATGGCAAAATAAATCACCTGTTGGATTTGTTTTTCTATTTTTCTTTTTCCTTTTTTTTTTTATCTCCCCTATTTTTGGGGTTATTTTGTGTGGGGTTTTTGTCTTTTTTTTTTTTTTT